CCAGAGACAAGGCACCACAATTCCACCAGGACTGCTTCGATTTAATTTTAGGCCAAGTAAAAGAAACTCTACAGGGACTGCCCAAAGTGTCCACGTAGTAAAAATAGAAAAATTCCTTTGTACAGAGGACTTGGGACAGCGAGAAAGGTTGGCCTTGAATTGTTATTCAGATGTGTCACCATCCTGGACAGTAGGCAGGTTCCGCAAAGACAGCAGAGGTCGTGGCGTGTCCTTGACAAGCCTGATCCAAAATTTCACAAACATTAGGAGAGCAATAGGGCGTGGGCTGGGGGGCACCCTCAACAGCAGATTTGCCTGTCAGTCATACTCTGCTTGATCATCTGCAGTCCGTGTTCAATCGTACCGGATCTGGACAAAAGTAGTACCGAGTCGTCTTTAGCAAGAGTCCAGAAGAGGGACAGGGAATGTGTTGTCAGCCACAGGAAAGAAAGCAGTGATCCTGGGAAGAAAATTTCTTTGTGAAAAAGAAACAGGTGCCATTGGCTCCGAATTCTGCTGCGAGACGGAGTTTGCTGAGTCAGCACACTGCAAGCGGGCGGTGGGAAACGGGAAAAGGCATCACTACTGGAATGCGTTATCTAGTCGACCGGTTTGGGGTCCTCCAACCACGGGCCTGTTAGAACCTTACGAACACAACTGTGGACCACACTCCTGGAAAGTGACAGGGTGAAGCGGTAATCCGTTAGCTCCCATCCCCCCTTAGTCAAAGGACACCCCTTGGGGTGAACTCCCTCATGCATCCACCTTCACAGTGATGGAGAAGCTGAAGTGAGAGGCCGTGAAGTGAGAGGTACTCAGCGTGGATATGAGGGGCAGCACCCAAAGTGAGGCTTGTCCAAGACTCTGTGGAATGGTTGCCTCCTCCAGGGCCGAAATAAAGGAGGATGCAGAGGATTTGAGATGGCACACAAGGTATTTGGTATATACCCTGAGTTTGAATGTGCAGAGAAGACACCTTCAACTGTCTATGCCTCAGATGCAGGTTAACTGGATTAAAAGAGAGGGCCACTTGGATGGATTTGATCACTCAGCTTACACACTTAGAGCTTGTTGTCTTCTATTTGAGTGATCAGAGCCTCCGGTAATGTACACCCTTTAAGCAGGAGAATGGAGGATTCAGGCTGAGTATAAGAAAGGAAGGCAATTGTGGTGGCTAGGTATTGCCAAAATAAAATCAAAACCACGTGGAACATTCGCTTTCTCTGGTTAATCCTAGCATTGGCTTGCCCAAAGGAAAGGTTTGATTGCGAAGTGAGAAGAATTCCTCTGCACGAGGAAGGAAAGGAATGTATTTGTTTCTCTGGAGGGAGAGAGAGGAGGTCATTTGATTTCAGCTCAATGATACTGCGCTGCTTCGTCAACTGTCTATGGAGACTGCTACCTCTCATTTTGGAAATAGAGATATCAGTAAGTTAAAATAGGCAATTAAAACAATATTCTATTTTATTTCAGATGGACAGGGCTGGAGAGAAGAACAGAGGACTCATTAAAATGGAGAGAGGCTGAGATCAGGTAAGGTGGAGGTGCATAGAGTTCAAACCGACTGGTGGGTTAGATGGGGGGATATTTCAAGGACCATGATGAATATGATTTAATTTGCAGTCATTTGTGCTGCTGCATTGTAAATGTGTTCCCTGTCACCTCCAAACAAACCCAACATCTCCAGGAACATCTACTATGTTCTCAAATCCCTAGGGTGAGTGATGTTTTACAATGTGGACCTCAGAGAAGAAGCTAATTTTATGACTGGGTTAATGCAGTGGAACCAGAATCAATATCCTCAAAAGCAGGGGAGACCACAAAAACAAGAGCCACCTGTGAAATCTAAGACATCTTGAGGATAGCATTATGATTCTACAGGCTAGGGAATTTGGGGGTTCTAGCCTCCTCCTAATCTTGGTAAACTGATGCCCTGAAGTTCTCCTCTTGTGCTTGTGATAAAGAAGCAATAACCTTACATCTTTAAGTATCATGCCATTTAACTATAACTCCATTTATCCTTCTACTGGTCACCTACCAGTTCCTCTCAAGCACTGATGATTTGGGCTCTTGGCTCATAGGCTTCCTTTAAATTGTCATCCTGGGCCACGTTAGAGACACGTGGACAAGCCATCCAACACCAGGGCCTCTCAGCTCTACCACCCCCTCCTTTACTGTGCCTTCTCCTCTTCTCTTTACCCACTATACTCACAGTCTACTTCAGACCATCATCACTCATAACTGCTCTCCCTTCAAAATCACTAATTCAGACATCCTGCTGTCTAACTAGCTTGCCTTCCTTTCAATCTGTTTGTCCAATTACTCACACCAACAACACTTAAGCTGCACAACTTTAATCTCAAACGCGTCAGCCTTTCCATGTCTCCACTTCCTTCCTGATTCATCTGGAATTTCATGGCACATTAATTAAAGAGGAAAAAAAGCTCATGCAGATTCCTCAAACTTTCTTGGACCTCTGACTTTCTGCTTCATTCGTTTGCCAAAATCCTAATACAAGAAAAAACTAGCTCTCCTTCAAAAAACTAATTCTCCTTCAGACCATCATTTGAGTGATCAACTACTACTTGAGATTCGTAAGTACATAGACGTAGGTATTGGTTTTAAGGACACAGTCACACGACTAAGCCGCCTATACTAGATGTCTAAATACCCTGGCATTCGGTCATTAATTACATCCAAAATGATCTGTGCATCTCCCTTCCGTGGTTCAGCTTCCACCACCTTTGATACAGAGCGTAGTCTCCACTCTGTGCATGCCTTCTCTCCCCTGCGGCGCCGTGGTTCAGCTTCACCACCTTTGATACAGAGCGTAGTCTCCACTCTGTGCATGCCCTATCTCCCCTGCGGCACCGTGGTTCAGCTTCACCACCTTTGATACAGACTGTAGTCTCCACTCTGCATCCCTTCTCTCCCCTGCGGCACCGTGGTTCAGCTTCACCACCTTTGATACAGACTGTAGTCTCCACTCTGCATCCCTTCTCTCCCCTGCGGCGCCATGGTTCAGCTTCCACCACCTTTGATACAGACTGTAGTCTCCACTCTGCATTTCTTCTCTCCCCTGCGGCGCCGTGGTTCAGCTTCCACCACCTTTGATACAGACTGTAGTCTCCACTCTGCATTTCTTCTCTCCCCTGCGGCGCCGTGGTTCAGCTTCCACCACCTTTGATACAGACCATAGAAACAGCTCCAACTGGTTTGACTGCCTCCCATATCTGGCCCGTCCATCTGCTCTTCATTTCTACCAAACGTACAACAGGTTGCATTATTTCTTCTGCTAATTAAAGTCTGCAAGGACTCACAGTATGTGAAAAACTCTTAGCAAACTTTACATTCAGTCCCCCAAAAGCCTTTCCAGACTGACCTCTTACTTGTCTTCCTCACTTAGTTAAAAAAAAAAAAAAAAAAAAAAGATTTTAGAGTCAGAGAGGAAGGGAGGGGGGAGAGAGAGAGACATCGATTTGTGTTTCACTTATTTACTCATTCATTGGTTGTTTTTCATATGTGCTGACTGGACGTCAAGCCTGAAAACCTGGAGTGTATCAGGATGGCACTCCCTCCCGCTGTGCCAGCGGGCCAGGCCCTCACACACTTCTCGGTCTGGCCACACCACGTGGTTCTGTGTCCCTGGAGTACACACTGTGCCCTCACATCCTTCTCACTGCTCACATTGCTTTCTATAAAATAAAGCCCCTTCTCACGTATCCTCTCAGCAGTTCGCACCCTACGTAACCTTCAAAACATGTGTTCCTATGTGTATGTGTGTGTGTTTTTATAGACACATTTCTATGTTTTTGTGCATATGCATATATGTTCAATGTGTGCTGTTGCTAAATGTTTAATAATAGGCTTTCTGGGAGAGAAAAGGACCCGATCTGTAGGGCTTGCTGATTTCTGTGGCATGAACATCCCACTACGGCCAGTTGAAGCCACCAGCGTGAAGTGTGAACGAGGGGCTGGGGAGAGGCATCTTCCTGCCGGTCTGGAGCGCGGGCGCCGCCTGCAGCCACTCGCATGACCATTTATAGGTACATACATGCACATGCCACTCGCGACCATTTATATGTACATACATGCACATGCCACTCGCAACCGTTTATATGTACATACATGTACATGCCACTTGAGACCATTTATACATGCATACACGCCACACACGACCATTCATACGTACATACATGCACATGCCACACACGACCATTCATACGTACATACATGCACATGCCACTAGTGACCATTTATATGTACATGCATGTACATGCCACTTGCGACCATTTATATGTACATACATGCCACACACGACCATTTATACGTACATGCATGCACATGCCACTCGCGACCATTTATACGTGCATGCATGCACATGCCACTTGCGACCATTTATACGTACATACATGTACATGCCACTTGAGACCATTTATACATACATACATGCCACACACGACCATTTATACACACATACATGCCACACACGTCCATTCACACGTACATACATGCACGTGCCACACACGACCATTCATACGTATATACATGCACATGCCACACACGACCGGTCATACGTACATGCATGCACATGCCGCACGTGACCATTTCACGTGACCGTTCATACGTACATGCATGCACGTGCCGCACGTGACCGTTCATACGTACATGCATGCGCATGCCGCACCTGCGTGTCCGTGTCTGCGTTTATGACGTGTGTACTCGTACGTTACTTCCAATACTCTGACGACTCATTTTCCAGCAGCTCAAAGACCCAGAACATGACCTTCGACCTCTGAGCTGGAACAATGAAAGGCCACCGCCCACCGACTTCCGCCGCGCCCTCCGACTTCCGCCCGAGGCGCATGACTTCCGCTCGCTCCACTTCCGCCCGAGCAGAGGCCGGTTCCCCGCGGCAGCGTCGTCCGCAGGCCCCGCCGCCCGAGGGAGCAGACAGCGCAGCCCAGAGCGAGGCCACCCGCCACCGCCCCGCAGCCACCATGCCCCGCGGTCGGAGGAGCAAGCTCCGCGCGCGCGAGAGGCGCCAGCGCCTGCGGGCCGAGGCCCGCGCCCGCGCCCAGGCCGAGGCCGGAGCCCCCGCAGCGGCCGTTGGGGGCCCGCCGCCCGGCCCGGGGCCCGCGCCCGGCTCCGGGCCGGCCGCCAAGGCGCGGGGGCACGTGCAGAGGAGCCGGGGCGCGCGCGCGGCCGAGGGCGCGGGCCAGGAGCTGCTGGCGCAGAAGGCCGCCGTGCTGGTGGAGCACCTGCTGCTGCAGTACAAGCGGAAGGAGCCCATCCGCCGCGCCGACATGCTCAGGGTGGTGCACAAGCGCTACCGCAAGGACTTCCCCGAGGTGCTGCGCCGGGCCGCCGAGCGCATGGACCTCTTCTTCGGCCTGGAGCTGAAGGAGGTCAAGCCCAACGGCAACTCCTACATCCTGGTCAACACGCAGGGCGACGCGGGCGACGGGCCGAGCGGCTGGAGCTTCCCGAAGAAGGGCGTCCTGATGCCCCTCCTGAGCGTCATCTTCCTGAACGGCAACCGCGCCTCCGAGGAGGAGATCTGGGGGTTCCTGAACACGCTGGGCATCTACGACGGGAAGAGCGACTTCATTTTCGGGGAGCCGAGGAAGCTCATCACCCAGGATCTGGTGCAGGAGAAGTACCTGCTGTACCAGCAGGTGCCCGGCAGCGACCCGCCACGCTTCGAGTTCCTGTGGGGCCCGAGAGCCCAGGCCGAGACCAGCAAGATGAAAGTCCTGGAGTTCCTGGCCAAGCTCAACGACACCGTCCCCAGCGCCTTCGCGCCCCATTATGAAGAGGCGTTGAAAGAGGAGGAAGAGCGCGCCCAGACCAGAGCCCGAGCTGCGCCCGCGCCTGGCGCCCCTCCCAAGGCCGGTGGGCGCCCCAGGGCCACGCCCGGCCGCCACCCTCGCCCTCTGTGAGGCCGCCGCCGAGTCGTCCCTCCTTTGGCTGAAAGGCCTGTTAAACCGTTTCCTGAGATGCAAGATACCTGTTGGCTTTAAAAAAAAGAAAGAAAAAAGAAAAAAAAAGCATCATCTAAGTAGGACTTTAGCTTCCTTCCTTCAAAATAAGAGACAGAAAGAGACAAGAGAGGAGAGAGAGGATCGTATATCTTGTTTATCTTTCTGCATTAAAATATTTTACTTTGGTTTTCATCCTCTTCATTAAAGGTAACATAAACCAAAATATAACTGCCTGCTTTAATTTGGGTGGCGGCGGAGGGTCGGGGGGTGAGGGCGGTGTCCAGCTCTGGTTTTCATTTTTTACCCATTAGATTTATGTATGTCGGGTCTTTTGTAAGATACCAGTGGAGCATGACCTAAAGGTAAAATGACTGAAGAGTCATAGGAATTCTGGAAAATCTTTGAACAGCCTAGCCAGACACAAGAGTTAAATTGTGTTTTTTTTTTAAAAAAAAAGCCCCGGCCAGTTTGGCTCAGTGGTTAGACGTGGTTAGACGTTAGAGCATCAGCCCAAGGACCGGAGAGTTACTGGTTTGGTTCCTGCTTAGGGCACGTACCTCGGTTGCAGTTTGTCCCTTGCCCAGTTGGGGTCGTGTGGGTGGCAACCACTCACTGTGTCTCTCTCACGTGATGTTTCTCTATCTCTTCCTCCCTCTCTCCCTCCTGCTCTATCTGAAGATAAATACAAAAATGTCCTTGGGTGAGGATAAAAACAAAAACTAAAAGCAAAGCTTGAATATTCCAGGCTGGATACAAGGCTTTTTCCTTTATAATGTTCAGTGTAGTGTATATATTAGCTGGCTGTAAATGGTACTTCTATGTATTAAGGTGTTAAGTCAGGCACCCTTATTTAAACAAGTAGCTTTGCAAATATGAAAGCTAAACAGAAGTGCCATGTGTAGTGATTTCTCTGCAGACATTCACTACTTCCTGGACTTCAGCCATGACTATGTGTGTACTTATGGTTTGGAATGTTGACCATTTAACAGGAAGTTGTGGTGCTGTGCTATCCCTGTTCAGAAAGCCTCCCTATGCCCCATTGCTTGGAGCAAAGTTTCCCCAAACCGCTTCCTGCCCATGTACCATGGGACCCAGCAGTGCCACAAAGGATAGATGTGCTGAGATATTGATGCCCTTGGCCTATGGGGAGCTCCAGGCGATGGTCTCCAGCCAAAGGAGACCCATCCATTTACTCCAGTCTGCTGTACAAACATGGCTATTTTCATGTGTGCCATGACATCAGAGGCCCTGGCCCTGACTGCGTGGTCTAAACTCGATGCATGGCATTCAAGGCCTTATAATCTTGCCCATGCTCTTCCAGTCCCACTTAGAATGCCCTTTTCCCTCTTCTGCATGATGGATCTGTTGTGGTCTTTTGAAAGCTCCAGCCAGTGCCCCTGCTTCACGAAATCATAAGAAATCTCCCCAGCCCACATGGCCTTCCTCCTCTGTGCTTCCTGAGAAGGCTGCTTGTTACCTCTGCACTTCCTTATGTTATAGTTACCTGTGTGCTTGTCTTATCATCCCTCCAGTGTGCAAACAACTCAAGCACGGAGACCACTTTTTTTTTTTTTTTTTTGGTGGTACATCCCCCTAGCGGGAACCGAACCTGGGACTCTCTGGTCCGCAGGCCGACGCTCAACCGCTGAGCCAAACTGGCCAGGGTGAGACCACTTGTTCATCACTGCTTCCCACCCAGTGCTTGCTGGGTCTTCTGCTGTCTCTCTCAGCCTGCCGGGGGTTGGAAAAACGCAGTGAACTACAAGCACACACCTGGTAGGAGTGAGGGGGAGCACTGCAAGAGAGCAAAATGCTGCTGATCTCTGGGTGCAGCCCAGTTTATTTGCAAAGTGGTTCCCCAGGTTACATGCTGATTTAAGTAATTATTTCCTTGAGATGGCGCCTCTGCTGACCATACAGCCAAGCTCTGTTTTTCCGCTCTTTATGGCAAAGAGACAACAAAGATGTAAAATAACAAAACCATTAGCACCTGGGCTTCCATGGCCCATTAGCCTCTGGGGTGGTCTTCCAACCTATTGACATGCAAACCTTACCTATTCACATGCAAACAAAACATTCCTTCCAAACTGGGTGGTCTTCCTGCCCTCCAGGCAAACCTGTCTGTCTACCCACACTTTGATCCTAGGCTGGCCAGGTCTCGAGAATGCATATCAAAAGGTTACATTTTGTTCATCCACAGACACACACACACACACACACACACCCCACCCCTGCCTGCAGTCTTGCATATGCTTGTTAAAGTGAATTGACTGTGCAAATATGAGAGAGGAGATGGCTTGTGTTTATTGCATACCCATCACATGCCAAGCACCATGCTGGCATGTTAGGTGGGACAGTGTGAGCAGTCCTCACAATAGCCCTCGTAAGGTAGGCCATCTGCAGACAAAGCAACTGAGGAACAGAAGTTTCGTGACCTGCCAACGATCGGTTTCTCACTAGGAAACAACTGTTGGACCCGCAGAGTAACGCCCTGTTCAGGTGTTCAACAGGAAACGGCTCTCTGTGGGTTTCCAGGCTTTGCCGGCACCCTGACCACGTGAACCCCCAGGTGGGGAGAAACAGCAGGAGCTCGCTGGAAGCCTGGTCCGAGGTTTGTCACATGAACTGCCTTGGCTGGTTGAGCCCTGGCATGAGTTCCACTCCATGAACTTAAAAATCAATCATTCTTTCATCAACAAGGAAATCCTTCTCCCTAGTATCAAATCTGAGACGACTAGGTACAAAAGCCACAGAACAAAAGTCATTTTTCTCTTTGCTTGGAAAAGAGTCTCCCAGTGAAAATTACATGAAAAATAGAACCAGCAGTGTATACATTATAAACACTGTATTTGGAGAAAGGGTTCCCATCCGTTCTTTCTCATTACAGCATGATTTTTGTTTATTCTGTTATGCTTACATTTATATGACTTTTTATTGAATGGAGTTTTGAAAACAATACCCAGACTAGGATGACCTAAATAACTGGATTATATCAATTAGATTACATTTGTTTCTAATAAGAAACGTTAGTGTACAATGTTCAGTGGCCCTGACTGGCCAAGACTTGTGCAGTCCTGGACAACATTTTAATGTTGAATGTTGATTTTCCTGTCTGTAAAACAAGGTGGAAATGCTAATATAGGATCCTAGAGTTAACAATGAGTTGACAAGTCCAGATTTTCTTGAACTTTCTATACATCGCAAGAATCGGTGAGTCAGCGTCTCCTTCCTATGACTCCCAGGTGCTATGGCCTTCTGAGCCATGCGTTCCACTACTCACACCATACTGTCACATCTGTCACCCCATGGAGACTTGACAGCAACCTTGAGGCGAAGGTATTCTCAGGAGTGTCCTCCTCTGTTGGAAATGAGAAGTTGTTGCTCAGAAAGAAATGGCTTGTCCAAGGTCATGGGCTCAGGATAAGTGACAGATCCAGGACTCAAAATATGAGCCAAACACTTGTTCCAGTTATTTAAGGAATCAACAGGCTGGAGGAGAGTAGGTGGGGAGATGGGTAAGAAAAATTGAGAAACTCAAGGAAGTAGCTTGGTGCTAAGGGCAAACATCATAAAGGGAATTTTTTTTTTTAAATCCTCATCTGAGGACATTTTTCCATTTTTTATTCAGATAGAGCAGGAGGGAGAGAGAGAAACATTGACGTGAAAGGGACACATTGAGTGGCCGCCACCCGCAATGACCCAGCCAGGGCCGGGGACAAACTGCAGCCAAGGTACGTGCCCTCAGCGGGAACCGAACCCAGGTCTCTGTGGACTGCAGGCCGACGCTCTAACCACTGAGCCAAACTGGCCAGGGCCATAAAGGGAATTTTTAAACAACTGACCTTTTCTATATTTACATACTTGGATGTCCATCTAAACCTACATTGAAGTCCACATTTTAGATATGTTTGTGTTGATTTTTAAAGAGAGAGGGTGGGAAGGGAGATAGAAACATTGATAGGCTGTCTCCTGCACCCCCCCCCCACCCCCCAACTGAGGATTGAGTCGGAAACCTGAGCATGTGCCCTGACTGGGAATCAACCTGCGACCTCTTGATGCGCGCGTCAATGCTCCACCACCGAGCCACACGGGCAGGGCTTACGTCCACATTTTAAAGGAGGGGGGAAGGAACACAGATGAGGTCAGGTGGATTGTCAGTGGGCCACAGTAAGCACTATTGCCCCAGGACACAGTATTGTCTCACTATCTTTGTTTATATTCCTGACTCATTTTCCAGGTTTACCAAACCTGTATACTCCATTAGCTTGTTTTTGAAATGAACAAAACCTGAGGGGCCCAGAAAAATGTGGAGAGGAGATGGTGGCTTTAAGGAGGCCACTTTCTCCCTGGCCGGTTTGGCTCAGCGGTTAGAGTGTTGGTCTGCAGTCTGGAGAGACCTGGGTTCTGTTCCTGCTAAGGGCATGTACCTCAGTTGCAGTCCCCCCCTCCCCCCGTTGGTCGTGTGGGTGGCAACCGCTGGATGTTTCCCTTTCACAAAGATGTTTCTCTTTCTCTCTCCCTCCCACTCTATCTGAACAAAGTATCGAAAAATGTCCTCGGGTGAGGATAAAAAAAAAAAAGGCCACTTTTATTGCAGGAAAAACAAAGTGAAAAGTTTTCAAACCTAAGGAAAATTCAGAAGCAATTTATATTAGTAAATGTTCATCTTGAAAGGTATTAACTTTCTATTTATTGGATTTGAATGCAAGTTGAACCTCATCTTAGATGGCTGTCCAATAGAATGTTGTTTAATGACAGAAATGTTCAATAATCTACGTCCATATGAGAACCTCTCACTGCATGTGGCTGTTGAGTACTTGACATATGGCTAGTGACAAAGAAACTGAATTTTTACTGTTGCATAATTCTAATGGATTTAACTGTAAAGAGCCGCCTGTGGCTGGTGGCCACTGTGTTGAACAGTGACGTCCCATCTGCAGATGTCAGTCTGCCGCTCC